GGGTGAGCTGGACCGCAGAGTGAAGGCAAAGGGGCCAACAAGTGCTAAACACCTCTGGGAACTCCTTCAAGACTGTTGGAAAACCATTTCAGGTGACTACCTCTTGAAGCTCATGGAGAGAATGCCAAGAGTGTGCAAAGCAGTAATCAGAGCAAAGGGTGGCTATTTTGAATAAACTAGAATATCAAACATGTTTTCAGTTATTTCACCTTTTTTTGTTAAGTACATAACTCCACGTGTTCATTCATAGTTTTGATGCTTTCAGTGAGAATCTACAATGTAAATAGTCATGAAAATAAAGAAAACGCATTGAATGAGAAGGTGTGTCCAAACTTTTGGCCTGTACTGTATATAATGATTCCCTATGGCAGGATTGATCATTTTTATTCATTAAGAGTGCCTTTTGGTGCTGTCCCACTCACCCAAACACAGTTTGGGTGGGTGGGACAAAATAAAAATAGCCTAATTCCATAAATGTAAACATAATCTTAACATTTTTTTCTGATTTTATTGTAGAAGTGCATCAAATTCATGTTTCCAGCAAATATTTCTGCAATATCATGGTAAAAACATTTTTATAACCTTATGATCATAACAATCAAAATCTTATGCCATTTTCCTCACCTTGGGTTATGCAGGGTCACCTTCCTCATTGATGTTGGCCCCACCCCCACGTGTGACATCACACCAATGAGTGTAAGCAACTCTGATAATGTGGTTTCACAGCAAGGCTCAGCAAAAAAAAGTTTTTATTTTCGATGACCAGGGGAGAAAATACAGCCAATTTACTTATACTGTCCCACCCAACCTGATGTCCCACTCACCCTGAATTAACCTACATGAGACCAAACATAGTGTATACAATGTAATAATGTAATGAAGATCCTGGAGTGTGCCACCAGAATAAATAGAGTTATTAACATTTAAATAATTAATAAATGCCAAGAGAATGTTAAGGGTAATTAAATTATAATTAAAATATTTACTTATTCTGTTTTGAAATTATACATTTAAAATATAATTACACATTACTGTAATCTTACAAATTGTAATAAAAACTATAATTTTATTTTATAAAATCATTTTAAATGTATCTTTTTATCATTAATTTTAATAATTTCTGCCTATCATATTCAATTTCACAATACATTTATTTCCTGCAATACATCTGTTTTCCATTATGATCACTTAGGTCAGCAGGATGCCAAAATGACCACCAACAAGGCAACACTGATGACCTTTTGTGTTGCCGTAAATGTTGTGAGTTGTGTGTCCAATCAGAATTCATACTGCTGAGGTGTGTGTTGGACTGATTCAGGTTTTATGTGGCACCCTGCTTACACATCATGAAATTTAAGAGCTGTGTTTAAATGTACATTTTTAAGCAGGAAACAAAATGTGAGAATGTATACAATAAGCAGAAACATGGAAATGAATTAATGTTAAATTGAAAAATAAAAGTGAAAGCTATTTTTAAAATGTTTTTCCACTCCGTTGAAACATTCAAATATTAATCCATCATTCAAGACAAAGTAAGGAAATAAAATTTTTAATTGTCATATTTAATGTCCCTCAATTATTTGACTTAAGATGCAAATTCAGTTCATCATTTTATCATGGCTTTTTAAAATTAATCAGTTTGTAGAAATAAACTACAGCTGCAATAATCAATTAATATTAGTAACTATTTTGATAATCAATTAATCATTTTGAGTCATTTCAAAAAATAAATCAAAATTCTCTGATTCCAGCTTCTCAAATGTAGTGATGGTGAAATCGAAGCTTCATGAAGCATTGAACCACTTTGACACACCTGCTTCAAGAATGACACACTGCTTCGAAGCATTTCATACAGTCAGAAGAGTGACATCTGCTGGCTGTGTGTCAGAACTGCATCTAAGTGGAGGACCTGGAAAAGCCTCAAGACTGCCTGTAAGGAGGCCTCGCTCCCGGTAGTCACATGATTGTGGGCGTGCCGAAGCAGGGATCGAAACACTGCCTCGGAACACTTGCACTTCAAAAGATCGACACTGTGTCGCGCAAACTGGCTCGAGCGTAACATCACTACTCAAATGTGAATATTTTGTTGAGAACAAGACATTTGAGGACGTCACTTTCGACTTTTGGGAAACCAACATTTTTTGTTATTTTATGACATTTGCTGGACTAAACAATTAATCGAGAAAATAATTGACAGATTCATCGATAATGAAAATAAACATCATAAAAATCTGTGCTTATTCAAGTGAAACACTACACTGGTTTATAATCATAACATTAAATGTGTATGCCATAATTATGATTGTCATTAAATTGCTAAAATGTCAACAAAAAAGGACACTGTATTGTTATATTTCCAAAACAATGGGCTACAATACAGATAAGACGTAAAGGTTAACATATTTTAAAATTACCTAAAACGAACAACAGATGTGACGTCTGAGTGTGACCAAGCGTCTTCCTCCCACACTGTATGCAGCCAAGGGGTACACATCACCAAGTTTCTGCTGCTCGACGAGACATTTTACCAGTGTTCTCTAGTTGAAAAGACCTTAGATGCTCTTCATACCAGGCATCAAGTAACTTTACAATAAAATGTACACAGTTGTTCAAAATGGCTATCTGAATAATCTCAGCAAAGTCAGGAAGTCCCCAGTAGAGCCATAAGACAAGATCATCCCAACAGTGTACCTTGTTCCATAGCAGGTGACAGTGTTAGCTAACTGCACAGTAGACAGAAGCGGTGACGTTTCTCTTAAAGCTTCCCGTATGTCTGAATGCAGCACATCTAAAGGCACTACAGATATTTTTGTG